AAAACTAATTTAGAAAATTAACTACATTGTTTTCTGAAGAAAATGAAATATTTCATGAGTCTATATGATAATTTCAACTTGGATATTTGCATTTATAAAAAGTGTATGTCAGTCCTGTGATCAGCAGAAAATTTCAATAAAGTGGGGGGTAATCCTCTTTGAAGTCAATTTGCTAAAAAATTGGTTGGCTATCCCTATATTACAGGAACGTATTTATGTGTCAGGCATTTCATTCTGCTAGAAAAATCACCTCTTTAGCATGAAAACTTAATTTTAAGGTAGGAATAGGGACCATTTCTTATAATGTAAGTCTATGGAAATATCAATGTGAGTGTCTGACCTTTTAGAATTTTCATACAAAAAAAACAACAACAAACGTACGAATAAAGGCTCAAAGACAGAATTTTAAACATTAATAATGTAAATATTATTAAAGTTTTCTTAATTATTTGTGATCAATTACGGATTGGTGTATTTAACGGATTTTAAGAGATTTTTTTTAGTGTCATGTATTTTTGCGATTTTATTGAATTTGAACTATAATTAGATGCATGTAAGTCGGTGCTAGGGGGCGTGAGGGATGTTGCACGTATTCATTATCCCTCATGTACAGACTCAATCAAACCGAGTCTGCAATTCTCTTGTAATTTTGGTGTGATTAATGCTTCCGAGGGATCACTTTGTTACCAGGATTTTAGTAATTTGTTATACTTATGGCCTGTTATTATTGAACATTTCCGTTTCGACATTAGTCCTATAAATATGGCATTGCTTTGAGATATTTGTACTTGGCAAAGCAACGTCATATCATAAGAACATTTTGGGTTGCGATTCCAATTTACTCAAGCATTTGTTACTAAATTGTTTGAATGTTTGAACTATTTGAATAGAATAATATTTGTCCTAAAAATGTTTGCATACTATAGTCTATATACATTGCAAAATCAATTTTTAAATAACAAAAACACATACAGTTCATTAAAATCTTACTTAATAGAATATGTTCAGGACTGGACTAAATTTGGGGATAATCGAGGATTACGGTTAACTGAGGAATTAAGGTATGAACGTTCTAAACTTACTTATAACCCTGGGCGGGGATAAATTTTTATGCTTTCTAAAGTTTTTACTATTTATTTTTGCTGATTTTGAGGTATGCTACTGTAATAAACAATAATAAATTACTTGTTTCGATATGTAGTGTAACTTGTAATGGAAAGTGGAAGCCAGAAAGGAGGAGTTATCTACCATAAAAGACAAACTTCAGTTCTGGTCCTTGATGCCATCAGTCGCGTACCTGCCGATATTCCAATACGCACAAATTAGGCTCAAATTTGATATTTGAAAATATTGGTAATTACTACACAATTCCTTGTAAATGTCAAATTAACATGCTTTGAGTACACACAAAGTATATTTAAAATGTTTTGAACTCTACACGCTACAGGTAGACACAATGTGAATACATAGTGTAATTAAAAAAAACTGGCAGTTTATGAAATGGACAACTTCGCTTGACTATTAATAACGAATGCAGTTTCCGCTTCACAGTTTGTGCTGTCTTTTATTCAAATTAGACAAGATCAGTAAGACTTTTATAGATTTCGATAAATTTTTGCAATGAAAATAGTTTTACTAAAAGATGAGTGAACTATATCTTGAATGAACAGAGTTTCGAGAAAGTAAAATTTAAAAAATGATGTGAAAAATAAAGAATTTTGATGTAGATCGCTCTATAGTTGCGTAGCTGCTTCCCACATGTAATTATTGATTCCATAGATATGCTTACGATGTAACCTTTGTCAAATATATTGTCATACAATCAAAGGTGAGTAAAGCACATGCATGTATGAGAGAAAATACAATATATTCATTGGGTATATAAACGGGAAGAAATTTTAGCAAGAAATTTTTTATTGTTTTTTCTTTTTGATACAAATAACCAAATTTTTCAGTAGGTAATGTTTGAATTACAATTGAAATTCAATTTATATCACCCTTTGCGAATTTTATTAAGGATTAGCATTTTTAAAACTTACAAAACAAAATGGTTGGCCTCTCAGTACAGAACCCACGGAGTGACATACAAAATGTAACGATATGATATATTAATTTTTTTTTTGAAAATTCCCATTTTCTTTAAGATAGAGTAAGCCTATGCTTTGAAAAATTAATGTTATAATGCTTATAAACTTGGCTGAACTTTATGTACAAATATATGTCTTGTCTGTAACTTTTGTTTGGAATCCGAGTCAGCCTCCTGTAGTTGTTTGTCAATGTATAAGTCTGTCACATTCATTTCATTTTTCAAACATTTGAAATTGTATAGAATAGTTTGGGTCTTACAAATCTGATGTTAACAGCAAACAATTGCCCACAACTATCATGAAAAACCGAATTCAACTCTTGTTGTAAATAGATTCAAGTCCCTTAGAATAAATGATTTACAAGATATATCACTATAGAAAGCTAATTGAGTATAGAAATGAATTGCATATTTCTGCAAACAATGGCATCTATTATGTATTTTATCATAGTCTCATCTATACATACATACATAATAGAGAGAAGATTATAATAAGAACAATGTATAGCCATATGAGAGAATGTTTTTTTTTTTTTTTTTCTCATTTTGAACTGTTTACAAAGCTAAAATATGTTTCCGCTCTTGCTTTAAATAAACCGTAATTATCCTGTTTATTTGTAAATAAATGTGAATTTTAAAGAGTAAAGTTGAGGAAAAATTGTGAAAACAATTATTCTCTAATATTGAAACACTGCATTTCTAAAATTATACCTTTTAGGGACCTAAATGATCGCGAATTAATAAATTTAAGGTGTAGTTATGATAATATAGATTATTGTTACACTTAAACATTTAATCTGTTGTGTTAGTTTTATGTTCATACAGATCGTTTTTAAAGCGATAGTTTCCTTGATAATATCTCATGTTTAGGTATGTTAAAATGAAATAAATAATGAAACAAAAACTTGTTTTAAACATCGTGATTACAAAAAAAAATATCTGAAAAATGAAATAAAAAATGAAACTAAAACTGGTTTTAAACATCGTGATTACAATGTACAATGGTAAATACTTTTTGAAGCAATATTTTCCTTGATTATATCTCATGTTTAGATATATTGAAGAAGAATAAAATGTTAACCTTAATCATCTTAATAACAATAGAGGTATCTGGTTATATTTCGTTTTCCAAATGGTAAATAACTTCTAAATTATTTGATAAAAGCAGTCTTCACGTCAGACTTCATGCAAATATCTGTCATTTCAATACTTTATATAATTTTCATAACTTTAGATAAAGATAATATTTAAATGACATTTCATCGATTAGATTTCCCCTGAATACCAGGAAGTAACGACACTTTGGCCCAATGGACTGTAATTGGGGTTTACTCAAAATAAGCCAAGGTACGCCCCTGGCCATCTCTTGTAAGTGTTGAGAATTGAGTAGTACTGTACCGCTCAAATCGATGCTAGGGGGCGTTTTGAATGTTGCACTTATTCATTATCCTTGTACAGATTCAATCTAACCGAGTCTGCAATTTTCATTTAATTTTGTTGTGATTAATGCTTCCGATGAATCATTTTGTTTTCAGATTAGTAAGAAGAATTTTGAGAAAGCAATAAAGGTCAACTACTTATTACCATGAATATAGTACAGAAACTTACACAAGAATCTGACAAGATGAAGAATTTGTTTATCAAGATAAACAGAAGGTATCTACATGTGGCCATATTACATGAATGACAATACCAAAGCATTTTAGAGACTTTAGGTTTAATTGCCATCAAACAATGATTTTCAGGGTTGTCGCTTATAAATAACTTCATATGTAGGCCACATTCTAGGTGGGTATAGGGACAAACTCTTTCCACTCTGTTTTGTTGTTGTTTTTTTTACTTTAAATTACTTGTTTTACTGTGGCTCTGTGCAGGTGGCAAAAGGCTGATTACTTTTAGTTGTTGCACATTAAAGGCTAAATTAATAACTCAATTATTCTTTAATATATTTTGTATACATAGGGTCAAAGGTCTATGTCATTAAGGTCCAAAACACCAAACTAGCCTCGGACATAAGATATTAGAGCTTATGTCAAAAACCTCCGAATTTTACTGCATTTACTATCTGTTATTCCACAAAGCGCAAATTACATTTGATTTCATAATTACTGTTACATACTTTAGCTCCAGTGCCAAGATAGCTATTTTAAGAAAATACCCCACATGATCATTATCAATGCCAGGAACTACTTAGCATCAATTTTTAAGCCGAACAATCTTTAAATTATGTTTAGTACAACACTATGTTGGTTGTATGTACTTGTTAATTTTTTTGCTTTCAGATTTCCTATACAAATGAACACTTTACTCTTTTTTTATTCTTTGGTTTAATATTTTTTCTTAAAAACAGGTCATTCCAGTATAAAAATATATAATAATATGAAATATGCCATCTCTCAATTGGGAACGGTTGTTTATTCAATTTCAACCATAATTACCAAACTGGCATTTAGGAAATGGAACCTTTAACCTTACTCAGATCTTGTATTTGACTATCATATTTGCTGTTCCTTAACCAACTGAGAAGGCACGCTCTATAACCTTTGAGTGATTTAGGAAATAAGGATAGGATTCTCAAGCAATCAGATTTCACTTATGATAAATCTAAGTTAATTAGAATTGGTCTGGAATCCCAATCCTAAAATGAGTTTTTCATATCAACTGGTTATAATTACAAAATACAAAGTGAACATACAAAATTTGATCTGATCAATTTATTGAAAATTAACACTTATGGTAACAAATTAAAATGAATAGCAACAATTACGGTAAATGGAAAGAAAATTACGGGTACCCAAGTCAACTAAGTGAATAACCGAAGAAACAGTACCATCTTGATTTACAAAACTAAACTATCAAAGTTAATTTCTTCAATAATTGTTGATACAAATATTATGCTTACATATTACAATTACATATAATGCAGTAAAGCGAAATATGCTTTAATTAAGTACACATACAGTCAAGACTATCATATGTGACTTTTCAAGGGACAGGGAGTCAGTTAATACAGTTTCAAAGAAAATTGGAATTAAAATGATATCTATTTACCATTGTCACTTAACATACATAACTGTGTGAAGTACTGATATGTAAAAAATTGCAGATTAACATATTTATGGATATTATAATGTACTAAGCTATAACATAGCAGCTTCAACAAACATTGTAGGAAAGTTTAAGAAATAAAGATATTTGTTATAATGAGTTCAATAGATGATGATAAATGAGCAATTACTGATTATTTCATGTGAAGATGATGAATACTACCAAAAATATTGAGAATCAGACATATTAATACAAAAATGAAATTATTATCCTACTTTGAAAATATCAACAATCAGACATGAAAACCAGACTATATAACAGTAATCAAACATGAAAACCAGACTATATGGAGTAAACAGACATGAAAACCAGACTATATGGCTGTAATCAGACATAAAAACCAGACTATATGGTAGTTTGCTTTATCTCTTTTATATATTGACTTATGGATGACATACAAATAACGTATTTAAAAGTGTTTCTTATGACAAGAAATTTGCTATTTGAAAAGATATAAAAAGAATGTTGAGCAATAATGTTGCTGTCATAATCTAGCCTGTTAATACCACATATTTCTGTTACTGTCTTGCTTTAGTCATTTCCACAAATTTTGCATACCTTTTATGTCCTTGCATTTATCAATACAGATATGAGGGAGGCGATATGAATCTTTGCAGCATTGTTTCTCCCCCTTATGTCAAGTGACATCAAATAACACTGTAAAGCATCTTCAGCTCTACCTTCTTGTTCCATGCTTTTTCCGAGAAGATTTAAAGCTGTTTCCCGGTGTCCGAGGTTTTGTTCCTCTTTTATGGTTCTGATAAGTTTGAAGAGAGCAGCATTTTTCTGGCCATGTCTTCCAAGATGGCTGTAAATCTTGTATTGTAAAAAGTAAAGGTAAGGGAGGGAATCCACAACAGTACTATCCATCCATTTGTTGTCTTCTTCTGTGCGAAATATTATGTCCTCTTGTGTAGATCTAAGCATTTCATACCGAAGATCTGTTGGTACACAGTGAATTTCACATGGCAGAAATCTAACACATGAGGCTGTTGTATACTGTAAGACTTCTTCATTATGAGTGTTACATAATTCATTGAAAGCATGTCTAAATGGTTTCTTCGTAAATCGATGACAATTACAGACAGGCTCAACAATTTGTAGATCATATCTCCTTTCAATCTCACTGAGAACAAGGTCAGCTTTTTGTATTTCTTGAACACAGTATAAGATTGAAGCTAGTTTCAGTTTACTTGATGCAACATCTGTATTCAGACCAATTGAGATGAGTTTGAGGGCATCTGCTGATATAATGTTGAAATGATAGATGTTAAGGGAAGCCAGCACAGATCCAAGTGTTGTACAATACCATGGTAACAGAAGATGACTGGCTGTTTTATCCAATCCTTCATATTGACAGTGGAATGATATTGACATATAGTTCTTTAATATTTTTACAGCTTTATACGGACTACTGTTATAAGTATATTTCAGATTCTCAGATAGAGATACAGCCAGATTGAATAATAGTATTCCTGAAATGATATCACTTTTCTTGAATGGACATAAGTTATAAAACTTGAGATGAAGCCTGGAACCAAGATCATCACATTTGATCCCAAGAAGTGCCATTCCATCACTGTTGATGATATTGTTGAGTATTTCCAGGATATGTGGTTTGACTGCAGGTAAAATCTTCCCCCTCATTAAATTGTTCCCATGTATGATGAAATGTGGACAATTTTCATTAATGATATTGTTGTACAGGAGATATAAACACAATGACAGACAAGAAAGTAAGTTATTTTCCCTCCAGATATTACTATTTGTATTTGCAATACAGTTGAAGAGTACAGTTTTACACATGTAACTTGAAATAACATCTTTAAACAATGGATTAATAAATGCTTTTAAAATAATTTTCATCAAGACATAACAGCGAATCTGTGTAATATTCAGGTTGAACATCAAACACCTTTCTGCTAAAGATGTTGATATTCTCCACTCAAGTTGCTCATGTTCACTGCCACTACATCCTACACCAACAACAAAGCATCCAGTTCTGCTGCAAAATTGTTTCATTTCAGCAGACGGCCATTGCCCTTCACCTTGTTGATACAACCATTGTCTAGCTTGTTGTGGCCATGTTGTACAATGTAGACCAAACACATTATCTGAATCAGATAAGCCTAACCGTCCTGAATTTGCTCGTGCTGGCCCATGTGTTTCTGAACCAAATCTTGTTAAAATAGATACTATAGAATTCTTAAGAAGTAATTTTCCTGTTCTGTCCTTGAACAAGATTTGATCAGATTCACCATTTATAGGAAGAGGAGCATCATGTCTCAGCGCTTGAAGTAAACAATATCCAGGAGATACAGAATTATCTTGAATCGTCAAGAGATTAATAAATACATTAGGCATCCAGTCACTCCAGTCTTGTATCACAGGGATGTTTTTAGGACAAAGAACTTGATCAATGTCTGAATTTATTCCTTCTGTAGTTGTGCCTTCTGATTGACTCCCAAAATAGTATGATATGATTTTTGTATCAAATAGTTGGTGATTTATATTTCTTATTGATTCTCTCAGAAGCCATGCTTTTCTCCTCTTCATCACTATTCTTTCATCAACACCTATATCAGCCAGAACCTCTGATAGTTTCATTGACACAGTCTCGGTGTAATTTGGTACTTGATACATTCTGAAAATATCATTAATGTTCTTAAAAATCTTTTTATAAAGTTTTTAACATTTCTAATTTCTTCACTTCTTTTCTGATTTTCTTGTGTAAGATCACCACAATCGGATTGTTATTGTTTTCTTTGTTTAATTTTTAAAATATTTCTTTTAAAAAAAATGTTTTTAAATCAGTTTTTATCATCCTCCTCATCATTATTATTTTTAGCTCGACTATACGAAGTATATGGAGACCTGCAGACATTTTCACGAATCGTAAGTTAAATCTTAAGTCATTTTCACAAAGCCACTCGTAAGTTAAAATTTTATCTTAAGATAAAAAATTCACTTACGATAAATCTTACGACAAAAACATCCCTAGCAACGTTCATTTGATAGTGATATGCATGCTCTATATTTGATTCCGGTTTTAAAATCAAGTAATCAAGAGCTTGAAATAACTATTGAACACAATCAAATTTCAATAAGAACAAAAAATTGATTCAAACTGATATAATTTATATCTTGATTGAAGATAATTATATATATCTAAAAGATTCAGGAAGAAGGTTTACTATGTTATTAATGAATAAAAAGGTACCACTAGTACATGCTGGCAATGAAATCGAACTCACCAATTGTACAAATTATAAGTTTTCAATAATACTAGTCAACAGTATAGATCACATTATTTTAAACTATTCATAACCCTCTCCATCGTGATGTCATCAAGTCATGCCCGGCGTCGGCGTCCGCGTCCAGATTAACGTTTTGGTGCAGTAAAACTATTCACTATATAATATTTCATTTCTAAAGGTATTTACTTCAAACTTCAAATATATGTTCGTTATCATCAACCACATCTTATGTGACAAGGTTCATAATTCTAGCAAAAATATTTTCAGATTTATCTCCCATTGAACTTAGAATTTCCTTAAAAAATACTATTTTTAATGTTACTTCTTTATTTCTTAAGGGATCAACTTCATACTTCAAATATAGGCTCCTCACCATCAACCACATCTTATGTGACAAGGGTCATAACTTCTAGCACTAATATTTATAGATTTATCTCACATTGAACTTAGAATTTTCCTTATAAATACTATTTTTTACTGTTACTTCTTGATTTTTATGGGATTAACTTTATACTTCATTAATGTTCCTTATCATTAAGTACATCTTATCTGACAAGAATCATAACTCTAGCACCAATATTGAAAAAATTATCTCCCCATAAACTAAGATATTTTTCCTTGAAAAATGTTTTTTACTATAACTTCTTTAGTTTTAAAGGTATCTACCTCAAACTTCAAATATTTATTCTTTATCATCAATTACATCTTATGTGACAAGGTGCATAACTCTTGAAGCAATATTTTCAGATTTATTTCTCTTTGAACTTAGGATTTTCTTTAAGAAATATTATAACTTCTTTACTTATTAAGGTATCTACTTCAAACTTCAAATATATTTATTATCATTACACACATGTTGTATGACAAGGTTCATAACTCTAGTGTGACTTTTTCCAGAATTATTCCCCCTTGAACTTGAAATTTATGTTAACAATGTTATTTTTTTACTATAACTTAATTAATACATAATTATACATAATTGACTTTTCTTTCATAGATTTGTCTTCCTTACTGCGTCCAGTATTTTATTAGTCGAGCTGCACTGTCTCCTGTAACAGCTTTTGTTTGTTATTTTATAAGAAATGTTTTTTTTTTAAATTTTAGACGATTTTTGTTTTGTGAAAATTGATTTATACAGTTAATTTTTATATAACCTATGAAACAAAATTTTAATAAAATAGTTTAATTAGACCTTTGACTTCTTTTTTGAAATAAATTTTAATCAACACTAGTCAGTAATATAAAAGAGTAATTATTAAATTGTCACCTTTTTATATCTGCTGCAGATTTTAGATAATGAAGTCACTAGATGTTCAATATCTAAAAAGCAAAACAAAATACTAAAGAAATTTCCCAGTTGCTAGTATTGGGTTTTCTAGATTTATATTTAACTTCCTCTTTCTCTTTCAATCTTGAGAACATAACTCTCTTGAGCATTTAATCTGACATTTGTTGTCTCCCTTTAATGACAAGATATTAAGACATAAGATAAAGATCAACTGTACTAGATTCATGCTTCATGTATGTTAAAGGGACTCCACTGAGTTTTTGTCATGCCAAAAATGAAAATGATTTTTTAAGACTAATCTTTCATTTGATAAAGGTCTAGAACAATAACTTTTGTGACAAATATCAGATCATTGGTTAAGGGTGTTTTTCCAGAATTCCAGAAAAGTTATTCATATTGTGAAAAAATGTCCCAAAATTGTTACTCTTTACTCTGCTTTTAATTCAAATCGAGCACTAAAATATGATTTCTCTGTTTGATAAAGATATTGTAGAATTCTTTAAGAATAATTTTCCTGTTCTGTCTTTGTATGAACCTGTACCAGTCAGAACCTCTGATAGCTTATTTGACATAGTCTGGTTTTAATTTGGTACCTGATACATTCTGAAAATATAATTATTGTTCTAAAGTAGTATAAAGTTTCTGGCCTATTAAATTTCTTTAGTTCTTTTCTGATTTTCTTATCTAAGATCACAATCAGAATATTATTGTTGTTTATTGTTATATTGTGAAATTTTGCTATGAAGAAAATTGTTTTAAAATAAGTTTTTTATCACCATCATAATCAATATTTGTTATTTTAAAAGAAGTGTATTATGTGATATTTTAAATGTTGTTAAGTGAAAATTAAGTAATACTGTTTTTTTTGTACCCTATGAATCGAAAATTTCAATCAAATACAAAACTTTTACTTCTTTTTGAAATAACTTTAAATGAAACTTGTCAGTAGTATAGAATAATCATTAAATTTTTACCTTTTTGTTTATATCTTCTGTAGAAGATTTAAGATCATGAAGTCACTAGATTTTCAATATTTGAAAAGCAAAACAAAATACTTCAGGAATTTCCCAATTGCTAACAACAATTGAAGCATTGGGTTTGCTGGAATTTATTTTTAACTCTGAAGAAGATAACTCTCTTGAGCAGGCATTTCATATCTGACTTTGTTGTCTCCCTTTGATGATGAAAACTGATTGACACAAGATATTTGCACAAGACAATTTGTATTATGCTTCACAATTAAATTATAATCTGCCTTTATTGATTTAACATGCTTTGAATCTGTTAACTTAAGCTGTTATTGAGATTTGATTAGAAAAAACATGCATGTGAATTTGGTATACAGTTGTAATCTAGTGACTCAAAATTGTACTAGATTCATGCTTCATGTATGTTAGTTAATCCAATAGGTTCAAAACATTTTGAAGGAAAAGTTTATTCAACAACGGCTACTTAAATTTGTATGACAATTTCCTTTCATTCATACAAAAACATACTAACATAAACAAAACTGTACAATAAAAACAAATAATTTCAACAAGGTGCCATGGTACATTGATAATCAACACACTATGCTTATTAAAAAAGGCTATCCATTAAATAAATAATATATTTTAATGCCCATCTTGATCTTGAATATATTATAGCCAGACAGTGCAGCCTCAAACTGTTCATGAGTTGTCTGACATATTATACATGGTTTTATGTTGAGTCTCTCTGAAGAGAAACAACAAGATGTTATAGTCGCATTTAATAATACTTCCAGATACCTTGATGATATTTTTAATTTAGATAATCCTTATTTTGATCAAATGGTGTCTGACATTTATCCGCATGAACTACAACTTAATAAAACGAACTCTTGAAATTTTAGTACATCATTTTTGGATCTTCATATTACTATCAACAACAATTCTATTCACACGAAAATTTATGATAAAAGAGATGACTTTGACTTTTGTATAGTTAATTATCCACATTTGGATGGAGACGTACCCCATGCAACATCCTACGGAGTTTATGTTTCTCAGTTAATTAGATTCGCTAGAGCTTGTAACAACGTAAAGGATTTCAACGAGCGGAATATTTTTATTACCAGCAAGCTTCTAAAACAGGGCTACCGCTATCATAAATTACGGAAAATATTTTACTAAATTTTACAATCGTAACTTTGATTTAATTTCTAAATTCAATAGTGATTTAAAAAACTCTTCTGCGACAAGGGATTAGCCAGCCTGGTTTTTATGGCGATGTGGTTTACAAACTTCGTAAGATTTTGGGTCATGGTAATTTTTCTGCTGTTTTTACTAAAATCATTAAACGTTTTATTAAAAGAGGTTATGACCTACTATTTTAAGACATACTGCATGTTTAGTGTTCAACCCTTTTACAGTTGGACACTACGCTTTCCTCTTTTGATTGCATCTGACGGACCAAGTGGGAGACACTATGATGGATAGTTCGTAAAGCCCTTTGGGACTGAATTGTCTTAATGTTCGTCTTCTGCCTTGCTTCGTCGGGCCCTTGTAGGTGATTTTCTTGTTGCTATGTCTTCCTTTAGGACATTGAGTACATTTGTTATGGTCATTGGGTTTACTTTTATATGTTTCTACATGATCATTTTAGTGTTTTACTTATTTAACCTTTTGTAACCATGACAACTGTTAGAATTTCACTTGGCGGGGATTCATTTTATTTACACTGTCTCGTTTATAGGAACATGGTGGGGCTAAGAGCGAGGTTTGGTGCACCATTAACCGGTTTAAACTCCCCAGCAGTCATTATTTTGCTGCTGACCGTTCCAAGGCGGCGCCCCACTGTGTTCCTCAGATGTATGTCTATGTTGTTTCATACTGTTTTGGTGACACTTTTGCTTGTGTCCCTTGTTGTTTTCTCGTCTACGGTAAGTATCTTCCCCATTGCCTCTAGTTTTTATTTCTTTGATTAACCCCCCCCTTCCCCCGGTCTCCTGTCCCCTTCCCCTTTGTGGGCCTATTATTATTTTCTTTGAATTCCTAATCAGTTACAAATTATTTATCATTTAATGATTAACATGTCGTTGCCCTGTCCTTTTTATGTTAGGGGTCCGCCTGGGCTCCTTGCCATTGGTTCTTGTTGCTGGGTCATATGGGGGTTGCGTTCATTGAACGCCGCCTTTCCTTGTTGATCTTGTTTTTCATATTCTTCTTGACCTTTTCATTAAATCGTTACAGTTGGGAGTGGTTTCCGTTTTCTTCATTGGTACTTTTTAATGTAAATGCAGTCAAAATATGGTTGCAACTTAATAATAACAGTTGCAAGTTATAGCATGATTTTGTTGAAAAAATTTGTCCCATCCAGTTCTTTTTATTTTGGACACTTTTTTATTATTAAATAAGAAACTCGTTACTTGCTTTCTGCATTTACAGATTATGAGGGAATGTGTCGCTCTCTGACAGATAAAGAAAGGCAGTTAACAGAGCTAAGGGAGAGAACTGATGAGAAAATGGAACATCTGAAAAGAGAACACGCTCGGGAAAAGTTACAACTGGAACAAGATAGGACCATGGCGTTACAAGAGAAAGATTTAGCCCAGTAAGTGTTATAACCTCTGTATACAGAACAACTCTCTCTTTGATAGGAGATGTTAGCCCCTAGAGAGGTTTAAATTAGTGTTAAGTGAACTCTGTTTTTTTTTATTAAACATGTATAAAATAATCAATGGGGCTTATTGAGTTCCTGTCAGTCATGAAAAACTTACAGTTGACATAATTATTACCTTTTGATATTATACCTAACAGCAACACATAACAATATATCACAAAAAAGAACAATTATGACATTCTGCTTGAGAAAATTTACTTTCATTATGTTACTCATTATGTTAATACTCAATAACATAGGTCAAAAGTTGTATATAAGAAATGCTTCATCATGTATTTCTGTATATTTTAGGAAGGAGAGAGACAATATAAAGGAGCAGTTGAAACAGAAGGAGATACAACTGAACACATTTGGTAAAACTTTACAAGAGCTGGAATCTGTAACAAGGTAAGTAATATTTCAGTCAACTCTTTTAGCTTGATTACAAGGAATAGTGGAAGCAGCCTTCTTAATCTGGTATCAGTGTCTTTTTGAACTAACACAATTCCTTGTAAGGTTGTAAGGTTGTACATACAAATTCTTTCTGCACAAATATTACTTGAACCTATATGTTATATTTTGTCATATTTGAAGAAAATTTGCAAAGGGCCATAACTGTAGTGTGAAATTTTACTTGTGAATTTTGCTGAATTATTACATGTTTAAGGTTGCAAAAATCCTGGTAATTTCTCCAAATCTACTGCAGAATTTCCCTAAAACAGCTTACATTTCTCAACCCATAAATATAACAAACCTAACCAATTCCAATATCATGATTTTCTACCTTGTGTATTTAAATAAAAAGATCCTGCATGATTTTGTTTTACTAAAGTTATAGTTTACAAATTGTTAAGGATGCTGATAGTGCAACTTTTCTTGACAAACATTTTTATTTTTGTCTGATGGAGTGTTGGTGGTTCTGCCAAGGTGTTTTGGTGTCAGAAGTGATGGCTAGTTGTAATTTTTAACTTGATAATGCTTAAATAATTGACATAAGACTGTAATGGAATCTGTTTGATTTTAAAGGCTTACATGAATAAATAAACAAATCCCAACTTATAATATACCTTATTAAAAAAAAGTATTGTTTACTGTGTTTTGCTATGATAATATCATTTTTAACTTTACAATTGATAATGCTTGAAAATTGACATAAAACCTGAAAGATCTTAAAGGCTGGCAAATAGAAAATGAACAAGACCCATCTTATGGTACATTTATTAAACAGAAATAAGGATTATTTACTGTAATTCATTTTTCACTTGACAGAGAGAAGAGACAACTTGAAGCTCATGTTCAGAAATTGGAATCCTCAACTGGGGACTCCAAGGTGCTACTTGATGGCAAGAGAAAAGAGTTGATGGCCCTAAATGAAGCTCTTGCCAAACTCCAGGAGAGAAACACTCGTCTAGAAGCCGAAAACCACACCATTCATGCTGATTTGAAGGCTCAAAAGGAAAGTGGGAACCGCGAGGTTCGGGAATTAAATATTGCAATAAATGAATTAAAATCTCAACATGAAAATGAACGACACTACCTCAATGATAATCTTTCACAAGTATGTTCATTACCTCATATCAAAACTGTTTATAAATTTAATTTCATATTTGAAAATTCTTCTTTTTTTTTATTTAGATTTGTGTTTCTTCAAACAAATTTTTATCATGATAATCTTTTAATGTAGACACAAACAAGATTACGGTCAGTGGAAGCAAGCCTGGCTGCAGCAGCTAGTGACAGAGATTCCATGCAGGCAAAGTGTCGTCTGCTAGAAAACACTGTACAGGAACTGCAGTCTAAGTTATCAGACGAGAGCACTGGACGAAGACTGGCGGAACAATCTGTAGGAACACTCAGGTTACAACTGGAGGACATGAAAAATGACAAGGTATACAAATCATGTGATATTTAATATTCTAGTTATTTTAGCAATTGAATCTACCCATGGTACAAGCAGCCTGATAATAGTCTACACTGTTTGTTATTTACTTACTTAATACTTATTTTGAAATTTTATCTTATAAAAATGAATGGTTTTGTCCAGATTAAGGATGTCAATTGAAGATATTTAGCCTGGGAATGGTTAAGAAAAACGCATTTTGAAGAGACAGACATATGTTATTTATTGAAAAATGTTATGTCTTTGTGTTAATTTGTATTTCTATGTGTAATTATACCTTCATCTTTTATCTATAGAACGTAATTGAAGCTCGCTTTGTGGAGATGAGGAACCAGGTAATGAAGGCAGAGGAGAAGTTGAGGATAGAAGAGGAGAAATGTGTGGCTACATCAGCACAACTTCAGGAACTAAATGCTATCTCCCATACCAATAAATCAACGGTTAAAGCCAAGTCGGAACAAGTAGAAATGTTACAGGTACAGTTTGCCAGATGTCATGGTTCAGAACTGTTCACTATTTAGGGGAGAAAATGTGTAAGCGACCAGATAGCTCAGTGGTTGGACACGCGGAATGGTGTTCCGAGGGTCCTGAGTCCTAGTTCTGATCCGGCTGGACATTTTTGTCACCCTGTGACATTTGGCCTAATGTTGAGCTGTGACTAAATATAGCATAGAGTTTAATTTCATTAAAGCAGAGGAGTATGTCGTGGTTTAGAACTGTTCATTGTTTAGGGGAGAAAGATTTGTTAGCGGCCGGATAGCTCAGTGGGTAGAGCTGCAGAGCGGTATTCCGATGGTCCTGGTCAGGTTGCACATATTTATCCCTAAATAGTGAACAGTTCTTAACGGTGATGACCACTCCCCCACTATATTGAAATTCCTCCTGAAATATTTCAGGATTACAGGTCAATGTGAATTAAACTCTGAGATATATGCAGTGCGCTTGCGTGAGATTATTTGTCCAGGGAAGTTTGTAAAAACTGAGGCACAGCATGCAAGTTCTGTTTAGATAAAATATTAGTGATTGGTTGTTAGAATGAATAGGTGAGATGAAATGGTAATGGCACTTGTATATTGGACTGTAAAGAAATATAACACATAAATAACAAAATAATTACACAAGATTCAAGGACAAAATAAAACATAAAATGATATTTTTAATAAAACGAATAGTAAAAACATGGCACATATTTATCTTTTGGCAATCACAATTCTTATGTATGCCATCATTTATTTAGAATGCAAAAATAACTTCCTTCTCTTAATACTTATACTTTAATTTTTAACTTTTTATATTTTTACATTGCAGAAGGAGATTAGTAATTTGAAACAGATTATAGAAACACAGAAACAGAATCTTAATGGTAAAATCAAAAAGTCAGCTCTAGAATATCAACAACAAATGTAAGTAAAAGGAAGGAGCGTTAAGTCAAAACAATGTTTCCTCATATGCCATCAGTACTGGTTAGTTCCAGTCAATTCAAAGTTTTAGAGATTTCTATATTAAAATTAAAAAAAGTATAGCTACAAACAGTATAGAGTCTGGTCTGAGGGTATGCGGATGTGCATGCTGGCCTGGTTCTATACTAATGGCAAAGACTTATCTTTTTTGGTTATTCTAAATATGTGTATTTACACTATGTAATTTATATATTACAGTGAAAACATTGAAGAAGAGAAGGATAAATTTCAGTTATTAAATCAACAATTATCTACAGATCTTGACTCATGCAGGGAACATATTGCCAGCAAAAATAAAGAAAACCTTAAGGTACACAATAACAAACAGTAACTGATTTTAACATGTGCTATCAATGCTCGCCTCCTGTCATACGGCAAATAAATCAGTCTTTACAATTAGTGAATTAGATAATAATTTTATCATTGTCAGATACAAAATTGATTTTGCCCCACCCAGCTTTAGTGCTTTGTATTACTTCCCTCAATGTTTGGTTTTCTGATTGTGCCAACAGTTGTTCAACTATTCACCACCTACGTCCCCCAAACAAATTATCATTGCAGAACCAGAGAGTCTGAATTTTGACTTAGGGATTATGACATTGTGTTTATGACCAGTTTGTGTTTTCTTGTATGATACCAGTGATTACAGTAGATTATCTCAAGTGTGATTTATATAAGCTTCAATTTTTTTTTAATTGAGGTAAAAAATTATTATGTTTAAACTTATCGAATATGAGTTATTGCTTTTATTTATGTTATTATCAATGTTATACTATTTTGTAACTATAGCTACAAGAGGAGATATTGGTGCTAGAGGATAATGTTAGAGAATGTAAGGTGAAACAGAAACATGCTGAGGATACGTTAAAGATAGAGGCTGACAAACAAATGGAGTTACATGCTAGGTACATTGTATATTCATTTCTTTTCTGTTCTTCTTACAGCATTTCTATATATATATAAACATCTTGTCAGACTTCATTGTCTGTTTGTTATGTTTGAAAGGTTAACATGTGAAATTCATGTATTTTTTCTGTTTAATTGTTAACAGGCATGAATGTATCTTTTGTTTCAGATCTAAAAAACATGTGTTCACGTTTTTTTGTGTATTTTATTTCTTTATTAATTTTGACTAAATGGAGACGAAGGCCAAAATTTAATGAGAGCCAGCTTTTTAATTGTTACACGTTAATTTTGACAATTTATATCAAACTTGAAATGTAATTTGCCTCCTTATGTTTCCTCAGTTCTCATGTTACTCCCAATGACAGTTTTTTTTTCTGAAATTTATATTTACCTGTTTGATCTGTTAATTGTAAGATTTTTTGTCAATAAAACTATTTAACATAGCAAATATAATAAGTGCCATTATTTGTGAAGGTTCCATGTGTTTGGTATTGAAGCACATTTTGAAATCATTTTTTGTTACATCAAATATATAGCTTGAAAGTCATATTTTGTTATATATCTAGCTTGGAAATGGAAGAAAAATGGTAAGCAATTAGCAACTGGGAATATCTGCCACTGCATTTTCTTTTTTTATAATTAGAATATTTTTTTTTAGCTTTTGGCACAAATCCGAGAGTATGGATGTTATCAAACACAGTTGATCAAAGTTAGGTTTCTCATGTTTTTAATTTAGTAAACAAGAAATAATCTTTCATGCTGACTGATAAATTGAATTGAATAACTATAATATAACCACAAAAAAACTTAATGTTACTTTCTATTTACAAAACTTGTTTAAATTTTAGGAGTGAAATTGGTATAAAAATCTTAGTTTTTAATGATATTTAGAAAAATTGACAAGAAATTAGCTGTTATTTTACTACATGTATAATACAGGCTTCAGCTTGAAGAGAAGTGGTGAGGATTTATGAATGTGGTGCTCAAATATAAAACAGCACAAAGTTTTTTTTTTACTGATTGAAGTCATACACATTAAACTAACTTGCACTTGTGTGGAACTTTCTTGTTTTTTGTTGACTCAATTTTTGGGTGTTCATATTTTTATAGAAAAAAAGGTCATTTTAGACAAAAATACACACCATTGCATTCATTATATATATATTATATTATATAGAGTGTGGCTAAAATTGAAGTGTTGCCAGTATTTTTTCTGTGTGTAAATTATACATTTACAGGTATTTAAAAAATATGACAGAGAAAACTGATTTTGAAAGGATGGGTATAATTATGGGATCAAACCTGTACAAACTTTATAATTTATTCTGAACACAGTGTGCACTCCCATGTCCGGATCATTGTGCTGGAAATAATGTTCAATATATTGCAGCCCTTCCTTGACCAGTAAAGAATGAAAACCTTTATACAACTGTGATAGAAGAAGTGTAACCTGAAACCTGAACAGAATATTTTACTTTTTTTTCAAAGGTTTTATAGCAATTTGTAAAGCTGTTCTGTAATTTTAGCTATTACAGTAGTCATATTTTATGGGCTAGGGATTTAGTTACTATGGTTGATCTTACATTTCTTTTCAATTTCTTATAATATCTAGCATCTTGTAATTAAAAAGTCTTAAAATAAGAATTGACTATTTCAAAATTTAAAGGAGGACTTTAGCAATATTTAAACATATTTTTGAAAACCAGTTTTCAGTCCTGCAAAACATCAATAAAAAAGGACAAAATATAACCGTTAAGAAATTCATGAAATAAATAGAAAATTTGTTTGTTAAAATAAAATGGCATATCAAATAATATCTAGCTCACAAACACCAATATTAATATTTCATTTTTGGATATGCCACTTTATCAAATAATGCATCTGGTGTTCTAAACTTTGTTTTTCTTTATGCAAAACAAACAAAAATGTATATCTGTAGAATTTAATGTCATTTATTTTAATTATATACTTGTTAAAACATAATATTCAAAACAGGTTTGAAGCACAGGAGGAAGAATTGAAAAGATTACGTAATTTTCTAGCTAGGAAAGTAGAACAGTCAGGTGACTCGGATAAAACTATGTGGTAAGTTACCTTTGTATTTTAGTATTATACATTCACTAACATGATCTTTTGTTTCTTAACGTGATTCAAAATAGGTACATACACAGTATAAAACAATTGCAATATATATTCCATGGTCAGATTGAAGGTTTTTAGCTCGACTATTCGAAGAATATGAGAGCTATTGTAGTCGCCCCGGCGTCGGCGTCTGCGTTGGTTAAAGTTTTTTGTAAAGTCAAATATCTCAATTATTGCTTGAGATATTCAATTGAAACTTACAATACTTATTTATAGTAACAAGGTACATCAGATTGACAAGTTGGATAACTCTGCCTACAATATTGACAGAATTATGCCCCTTTTTAACTTAGAAATTGTGGTTAAAGTTTTTTGTAAAGTCAAATATCTCAATTATTGCTTGAGATATTCAATTGAAACTTACAATACTTATTTATAGTAACAAGGTACATCAGATTGACAAGTTGGATAACTCTGCCTACAATATTGACAGAATTATGCCCCTTTTTAACTTAGAAATTTTGGTTAATTTTTTTTTAAAGTCAAATATCTCAATTATTGTTTGAGAGATTCAATTGAAACTTACAATACTTATTTATAGTAACAAGGTACATCAGATTGACAAGTTGGATAACTTGCCTACAATATTGACAGAATTATGCCCCTTTGGAACTTAGAAATTTGGGTAAAGTTTTTTTGTAAAGTCAAATATCTCAATTATTGCTTGAGATATTCAATTGGAATTTAAAATACTTTTTTATAGTAACAATGTACATCAGTTTGCAAAATTGCATAACTCTGCCTGCAATATTTGCAGAATTATTTGCCCCTTTGAAACTTAGAAATTTTGGTTAAAGGTTAAAGGTCTTCAAAGATATTTACTTGAAACTTTACACATGCACTTAGGGTCATAATTGGAGGGTCAAGATTGTATGTCACTGACCAAGTTCCATAACTCTATCTTGCATTGAGGCTGATTCATATCCCCTTTTCTACTTAGTCTCTTGGTTATAATGTTTACATGCAAGTTTTACCTATCTCAATAACTATTAAAGATATTTATTTAAAACTTCACATATGCATTTAGGGTCATAATTGTAGGTCACTGACAAAGATCCATAATTCTATCTTGCATTTAGGCTGATTTTTCTCCCCTTTTTCAACTTAGAAATTCATGGTAAAGTTTTGCTTGTAAGCTGTTATCTCAATTACTACTGAAGAGTTGCTGCCTTTTTTTTGGACAATTTTATGCATTCATAATAATAAAGCAGTGATTTACTTGATAAAACATCTTAATTAGAAGCCTTTGTACCTTTTCTGTCAAATTTATGTATTCATAGGTAATTAGTATTATTATACTCAATAAAACACCCTTGTGACATTACCTTCCGAATAGTCGAGCCAATACTGTATAATTAGACTCTCTCTAAGGCCTATAACATGAATTTATAAAAATTTTTTAGCCCTTTTGTGATCTTAAAAGATTTAACATTATCAAGGCTCTTTTACTATCAAGCACTTAGAATAGTCGAGCGTGCTGTCCTACCGACAGCTCTTGTTATATACTAAAATTTCAGAAACATTTACTGTTAAATGTATAGGTTACCATTGTTATTGTTAGATATATTGGTAACCATTATTATTGTTAAATGTATGTGTAACATTATTACAGGCAGGAGATGAATCGAGTAATTCAAGATCTGAGTCGTCAAATGACTACACATCTAGACTCAACAAGGGGTGGAGACAAAGAGAAGAGTCCCGAGTCCCTTGTATCTAGGCTACGAAAACAGGTAGCGGAAGTTCAGGGTGAACTTAGTACAGAGAAATCCCTACATCAGATCACTAAGACGTCGTTAGTGGCGCTAGAAGAAGATTGTCAAAGGTTACGTAAACAGTTACATCATTATCGGAGACGTGATCCACCTTCCGGAGAAAAGTAAGTAAAATATCTGGTCTAATAATAATTGTAATGTTAATTAAAATCTACGTAAATACGAGGCTTTAAAATGTTTGTTATATAAATCTTGTCTATGTAATATTAATTAAATCAACGTTAATATGAGGCTTTGAAATGTTTGCTATATAAATTTAAAGAGGAATATCTGTCACTGTCTTCTGATTTTGTTTTTACACTTCAGGAGACTTTCTCTTACTTATTTTTGTCTTTACTACTCTGGAGAAATCTCCACATAAATAAGAGGCTTTCTTGGCAGAGTGGTTTAAACATATATATATTTTAGGGGCAGACACATGTCCTATTCTTCTTTAGGTTTAAATACCTTATGGAACGTATGAATTTTATATTTGAAATAATTCATAAAGGGACTCGGCATAAAATCCTCCCTCATCCATAAAGCTGGAAACTTACCATAATAGTGTATGACTGTAAGTTTGACCTTAAAATAAAAACATTATTATATGAAATATTCATTTCTTGGTATATTTATTAACTTTAGAGCGTACACCAATTATGCCAGTAGTGAACAGGTAACAGAAAAACTCACCTTGTTCTTAACATTTGTCTTATATTATATACATGATGCAATAAACTAAAACATGACACAGTAGTTAAAGCATGGTCCTGTTTTAATAAAAGTTGATATTTAACAACAAAAAACTTAACTTATTTAATCACATTTATAGCACATTTAATTGTAATGTTAATATGTAAAGCTAGTAATATGTAATTCAGACAGTTTTTGATGTATTTAATTTCAAAAATTATTACCTTTTGAGAGCAATTGATGATGCTTTCTTATAGCACTAAGTTTTGTGTGGCCAGGAACATTTAGGAATTTCTAATTATCCATTATATACTGAACGCCAATTTGTTTTCACTTTTAATGACATATTAATATTCACATGTTACATTGTTCATGTTATTTATTAAATGTAACTTATACCCTAATCGTTATTATATAAAACTTAAAACTCACAATACTCACTTCGTAACAGATACTTTCACTTTGTATTATTATAAGAAATAAGTGAAAAATATATTTATCTTAAAAAAAGATACTTATAATGTTCTCTTTTATGAATTTGTTTTTTACAAATCAGTTTATTTTTACGAAAATTACTTTGTTATGTAAAAATCACTTTGTTTCTTACGTTAATTATTTGTTAGTGAAAGTCAGTATATTTTATGAAAATAACTTTGTTATGTAAATATCAGTATATTTTATTTGAATGACTTATTTATGTAAAAATCAGAATATTTATTTGAAATTTTCTTTAAGTTTATTATATCATAATTCTCAGCCATTATAGATTTGTGATGACTGTAACCCTGAAATTGAGTTACAAATTAATAAAAAATTCATTTTGAGTTATAATATGTGAAACAGTTGCTTTGTTTTTCGTCTTCTTCTTTTTACAAGCTAGCCGAACTAACACATGTTTAGGTGACTTTATATATATATATTCACTAGAAATTATAGAATTGATTAAAATTATAATTAATTCTAAACAAAACATCTTTCATTTTCCACAGAAAACACAAAAACAGAATGGAAGCAATCAATGCTATAATAGCCAGGTCACAGTCCCAGGCGCAAGCTCTTTTGTCTTCAGGCGGTCACTTTGATGACAGTATGGTCAGCCCTAGAGTCCGCACACACCAGGCCAGTCACAGAGTTGGATTTCACAGTCCACGTCATGCAGACTCCCCGGACAATTCCTACTGCGAAGATTTGTCTGTTGCTAGTTTACCACCAATGCATTACGGGCTTTCGTCCTCAAAATCATAGTATAGCTAGTGCATTTTGAACTGTAAAGTAGCATATAGCTAGTACATACTGAATTGTACAGTAGAGTAAAGCTAGTGCATACATGAACTGCACAGTATAGTATAGCTACTGTACAGTAATATGGTCATCAAGTTTAGTAAATGGATATTGAAATGTCTTGATTAATAAGTTATTTAGTTGGTGCATATAATACTTAAGTATTACAGTTCAGTGTCTTTTATTAATTTTAGCCAAGACAAATACTGTGTACATTACCATTGTAATTTTTCACAATCCATACAGTATAGACTTATCTCTATGGAATATTGTAAAAGTATAGCCTATACATACTGAACTGTCTTAAAACATTGCATTAAACCTTACTATGCATTATTTCTACAGCAGCTGATTACAAATTTGTATGATATTTTCAGAGAATAGAACTGCCAGTATTTTATTTTGATATTGTCAGTCATATGATATTATATAGTTTAATAGAAGCTGTAACTAGAAAAACATACAGAATATATAAATGATTATATCTTTTTTATATGTTTTATATATTAAGTATTTACTGTAGAAATTAGTCACAAACATTCCGTCCTTGATGCTTTACATGACTTAATTTTCATAATCATTAAATTATAATCAAAACCACAATACCAGGAGAAATTTATAGATTTAGTGATATATTGACTGTATTTTATGTTTGTTACCATGGCAATGTATTATTCCTATGATATGTTAGTTGTAGTTGTCCTTCCATGATATTAACTTTTATCTACATAATCATACATGTCTATATTATTGTATTTATCACAAATCTTGTATGTATAGATGATATTTGTTTTCATTGATGTGATATAGTTTATATTTCACTGAGGCTACAAAATATTAAAATATTCTCAAATGATAATAGTTATAGGGAGTATAAAGGGAGATGTTATATTAAAATGTGAAAACCAAACACATTTTCTATTCATGCTTTTTTTTTTGGCAACAAGTGTTCAATACACAATACATGTGTAACATGTATATTTATAAATGTTATTACAAAAGGGTGATATTGCATTACTAATTTTGACCCTCCCTTTGATTTCAGATTGAAATAAACTTAAATATTATTATTTTAGTGAGGTACCTCTATGTTTGAGTTTATAAAATTTAATAAATCAATGTTTAGTTATGTATTTTTTAGAATAAGAAAGTAATCAGAATTATGAATATTTATTTAATAAGAAAACAGATTAATCATATAATTTATATAATAATATTAGAAAGAAAACAATACAGATTTAACCAAGCACTGCATAAATCACCTAAAACAACAAGACTCGTCTTATATTAAAAGAAACATGCCTACTCTTATATTCTTATCATACTATATGATTTTATCTGCGATATTTGAATGTCTCAAGATTTACAGAGAAAATTAAATACCTGGGCATTTTTGCAATATATTGAAATAAAACAGTAATAAATATGTGTTCATAACCATTCAAGTCATTCTTACCATACATTATCCACAGCAATTAGTCTCATTTCTAGTTGTACATTCCTGGGTCTGTCACACACATTTTCATGATGGTTTGGTTCAAAATGATTATGTTCTAAATGATACTTTATAATTTGCATTAGTTTTTCACAGCCTATACTCAAATACATGTATTTTTGTGCTGTTTGATGTTGTTTTCTGTTGTTGTTTTTTTTCGGGAGGGGGGGTTGGAAAATTAAGCATTTACTTGCAGAAAACAGACAACATGGGTATTGATTAAATAATAACTTTTAAGGAAACTGCCCATTAGTTAATGACTTATATAATATTGTAATCTCACATAAAACCTAACAAACAAACAATGGTATAACATTAAAACATTAAAACCAAATTTATTTATCTGATTTGATGTATTTTATGTAATGTATATTAGATATATGTTTTATTTCTACACGTTTCTGTGATACACATTTTAAGCAAACACCAAAATTGCATTTCGATTTTTTTTTAAAGATATGTTTTAAAACATACTTATTTTATTTTGATTGTATAATAGTGTGTTATGTTTGTTATCTGTGATTTGAATCTATTTTGTCTACTGATTTATAAACATTTCAGATATTTATTGAATTAATTTGTAGCCATAAACGAATATTACTGATTTTAGAAGATGAAAAATAGTTACAAATCCTGTAACTAAAGTTTTTATGGTTTTATAACATAAACATGATGCTCAAATGAAGATTTATCAATATTGTAAGTTCCAAAAAGCATTTTTAGCTCGACTATTCGTAGAATAATCGAGCTAATGCAGTCACCCATTTGTCGGCGTCGGCGTCGGTGTCGGCGTCGGCGTCGGTGTCGGCGTCGGCGTCGGCGTCCCTGTGGTTAAGTTTTTGTATGTAAGCTGGTATCTCCATAACTACTGAAGGGAATGGATTGAAACTTCACACACTTGTTCTCTGTGATTATCTAAGATGATTGGCACAAGTCCCATTACTCTGATTTGCTTTTTTACATAATTATGCCCCTTTTTCGACTTAGAAATTCTTGGTTAAGTTTTTGTATGTAAGCTGGGATGCTTCCATAACTACTGGGAAGGGGAATGGATTGAAACTTCAAACACTTTGTTCTCTGTGATTATCTAAGATGATTGGCACAAGTCCCATTAACTCTTATTTGCTTTTTACATAAATTATGCCCCTTTTTCGACTTAGAAATTCTTGGTTAAGTTTTTTGCGTGTAAGCTGGTATCTCCATAACTACTGAAGGGAATGGATTGAAAACTTCACACACTTGTTCTCTGTGATTATCTAGATGATTGGCACAAGTCCCCATAACTCTGATTTTGCCTTTTTTTACATAATTATGCCCTTTTTTCGAACTTAGAAATTCTTGGTTAAGATTTGGTATGTAAGCTGGTATCTCCATAACTACTGAAGGGAATGGATTGAAACTTCACACACTTGTTCTCTGTGATTATCTTAGATGATTGGCAACAAGTCCCATAACTCTGATTTGCTTTTTTTACATAATTATGCCCCCTTTTTTCGACTTAGAAAATTCTTGGTTAAGTTTTTGTATGTAAGCTGGTATCTCCATAACTACTGAAGGGAATGGATTGAAACTTCACACACTTGTTCTCTGTGATTATCTAAGATGATTGGCACAAGTCCCATAACTCTTATTTGCTTTTTTACATAATTATGCCCCTGGTTCGACTTAGAAAATTCTTGGTTAAGTTTTTGCGTGTAAGCTGGTATCTCCATAACTACTAAGGGAATGGATTGAAAACTTCACACACTTGGTCTCTGTGATTATCTAAGATGATTGGCACAAGTCCCATAACTCTGATTTGCTTTTTTGCATAATTATGCCCCTTTTTTATCTTAGGAATTCTTGGTTAAGTTTTTGCGTGTAAGCTGGTATCTCCATAACTACTGAAGGGAATGGATTGAAACTTCACACACTCGGTCTCTGTGATTATTTAAGATGATTGGCACAAGTCCCATTACTCTGATTTAACTTTTTCGCATAATTATTCCCCTTTTTCGATTCATAAATTCGTGGTTAAGTTTTTGTGTGTAAAGCTGGTATCTCCATAACTACTGAAGGAATGGATTGAAACTTCACACACTTGTTCTCTGTGATTGTATTTGAAACTTGAAAGGGTTTGTACATTTTCGTACAATTTTATGTATTCATATAGGTAAGCATTATTATACTCAATGAAACACCCTTGTGACAAATTTTCGAATAGTCGAGCGTTACTGTCCTCCGACAGTTCTTGTTTGTAAAGATATTACCGAATTTACATTTCATGTAAAGAAAGGGAGGTAGTAAGAAATTTATTTTCTATACCCCGAATTTACATTTCATGTAAAGAAAGGGAGGTAGTAAGAAATTTATTTTCTATAAAGTCTTAGCCAAAATTTTCAGTAAGAAAGGTTTCTTATTTCAAGCAGTGAGAAAAGTTGAGGACACTGTCCACTTGACAGCTCAAAAAATATTTAAAAAGCTTGGCCATATTGAAATTCAAAAATTCAACATGCAAAAAATGTAATTGTAACATTTGTCATACAAAAGTTTTAGTAGGGTATAAGCATGTTGTAATTTGAGAACAGAATGATGTTGTATAGATGTTTTCTTCTTTTTAATGTTAGTATAATGTACACATATGTTTTTTTTTTCGATTTTTTAAACTTAGTTCAACAGGGAAGTACATTAGTATAGTGGTTTGACTAGTAGAATCAAAATGAAATTTTTATAACATTTGTAATTTTGCTCCTCTGCTACTACATGAAGTAACAATTGTGGAAAACTCTTAAATGTCAAAGAAAATGTGACAGAATCCCAGTAAGTAAGCAAAGTTTACTTTAAGCCCTATTTAGATTGTATGATAAAATGGTAACTTTATTTAAAACTTGTGCTTCACTCAAAACCATAATTTCTGAAACTCTCGTAGTAAGATTTAGTAACTCACAAATGAAAGCATTCTTTCTTACAGATTATATAAACCAATATCTATGTGATGTAACATTATTAATTATTTATATACAAATTACAATAACAGCATTCAACTGACTCAAATTCTTGCCAGTATGGTAGTTCTGTTAGTTGTTGTATGTATGTTGCTGGTTGTCTATTTTTCACATTGAAGATTTCAGCAAAATTCTGAATCATTACATTTTCAAACGTATTTCCATATAGTATAACAAATGGATTTTATAATATTTGTACCAATATATATGTTGCTGTTTGTCTATTTTCACATTTTAAATTACATCAAAATTCTGAATCATTCCATTTCTCAAAATCTATTTCCATATAGTATAACAAATGGATTTTATAATATTTGTAAAAGTTTATATGTTGCTCTTTGTCTATTTTCACATTTAAAATTATAGCAAAATGCTAAATCATTCCATTTTCATTTATTGCAAAACTCTTTTCCATATAGTAGATATCAATTGTATTTTATAATATATGTACCAGTATTTAACTGTAATTCTATTATGCAAAGCTAAATAAAGCATTAACTGAAAGAAATCTGTGTTGATATATTGTGATATGTCCCAAAAACTGAAGACAGAAATCTACTTTTTTGTCATATAACTACATTCCAGCTTTACTGGTGGAGGAAGAGCTCAGTGACCCTTCCGTGCATTATTTCAGGCAGGAACGGAGATTAACTAAGATTAGATGGCCACTAAAGATCTTCATTCAGGCCAAACAACGTGAATAGCAGGTGTCAAACTAATTAAACAAGCCCTGTATCGAAGTTCTCATTTTGATTGTCGGGGTCAAAGGTCAAGATTGCAACAATGAATATTGTTTGTACCTATATATTAAGAAAGACCTGGCATACTGCTTCCAATATTTAAATGATTCTATATGTTAAACAAGAAACTCCATCATTTGGGATCAATAAGTAATAAATGAAAAGGCAATGTCTGGCCTTGAGAGTTAAATCAGCCTCCGAAAAGTGCTTTGATATATTTGATACTTTAAAGGATCAGGTTGGTCAAGGTGGTAATAAAATATTCCATGTACATGTTGTTCTTCAATCTTAGTATAAAACATCAGGACTAATGTTGGGTGTAACAAACTTAAAGCGATACCAGGGGTCGAAATCACATCACTTATTGGGGCTAAGAGCTGCATATACTCCAGTAATTTGAAACAATTTAGCCGCCATTTATGATCCTGCAGGGTTAAACATTGGCTGCAATTCTGCTCCCCAACCCATTAAGGCAAGCTCTCATTCACACGGGACACAAACATTTTTCACTATAATGGTACTAGTGTTGTTGATAACAATGGTTACTGACAGCTTTGCTAATTTTATATTACACTTTCATAATGATCATTATTCTGCAATCTGGTCACCTAAATTTAAAAAATTTGCAGTATCCATTGAAAATGTGCAAACAAATAGCCACTAGAGTACTAAGTGAATTAGCTGGAAAAAGATATAGCGAGAGACTGTTATAATTAGGCATACCAACTTTAGAATACAGAAGAAACAGAGCAAATATGATTGAAACTTATAAAATAGTTAACAACATTAACAAAATAGATAAGGAAAATATATAAGGAAAAAATTTCATATTTCAACATCTATAATAATACATATATTATATTGTATTATTATAGATTTTGAAAAATGAATTTTTTTCAAAACGGCTTATATTAAGGTTTTTTGATATATATGATCAGTACATGTGCTGGGATTGACAAATATGCATTTTATTTGGATTTTAAAGGCGTTTTGAGCTCCAAACCCCAAGTGTCTGTGATAGGAACCAATTATTTCGCATTCACCATTGTTAATATACGAATTTACTGGGTACGAATGCCTAACAGTTGTCCCCCTTTCTGTAACCAGCCATTTGCAATGTGCTTTTTACCGTTTTAGAATTTTCATACAAAAAACGTACGAAAGGCTCAAAGGGGTAAGTTTAAATACTAATAATGTAAATAATTGTTATTAAGGTCATTGACTTCCGATTCATTGTCCCTCACCACTATGTGTTTGAATCCTGACATATGTCAGATATTTTTTCTTGCATATTCTACCATATTTCGTTGGATTTTAAATTCTTTATCTTTAACCACAGGGACCCAGCACAGTGTTGGGATAGTGTAAAAAAGTAATTCTAAAAAAAAATATATACCCTATATATTATATATAAAGTATATATTTTTTTTTAGAATTACTTTTTACACTATCCCAACACTGTGCTGGGTCCCTGTGTCTTTAACAGTGTTTAATTTCAATGGAAATTTAGGTCTTCCTCCACCAGTACAGCTGGAACGTCGCGATATGACCTATACTGTGTCGATGTGACGTAAAACCCAAAACAAAACAAAAACAAAACAAAACAATGGAAATTTATATAATTATTGTCCAACAACATTGACCTGGCACTCTTGCATTTGACCCTGTAGTCGGTATATTCCGTAAACGTTACGATCTACTTGTAAATCAATTTGAATGTTTACAAATATCCTATTGTTAAAAAAGTGTAAATTAAAATTCCCCCTTAGCGCAGTTGGTAAAGAGTTTTCACTGGAAGAATGTAAACGTAGACTGGTATGTTCAAATCCTATTTCAGCGATTTTTTTAAATTTTAATTTTGAAATTGCCATTCTCTTTAAACTATTTAAAACCTTTTTATTGTGTGTACTACATATGTAGAATTTTTAATAACTGCCTTTATAGCGTGTATGCATTAAAAAGCATATACGATTGCATAATGTCAGAAAAAGAACCGTTGAAAGACACCGTAAAGAAAAAAGAGACATAATTTAGCATAAAGACACAACTTAAAAGGTATTCTAAAACCAGGTGAAGTAAAACGATTTCAAATTAATTCTTGCGATTTAATTTTAAAAAAACCTATAACGTGACGTTGGTTAGGTATCGAACCAGAGACATTCAGATCGGTAGTCCGACATCCACACCACAATGACGAGTGAAGTTAGCAAATATATCGATATATTCGATAGGTAATGGTCAATGTTTATTCATATGACCTTTCCGAAAATTAATGAAGTGCCAGGTCAATATTTATTGGACAATACAGCCGTAACTACTTTCTTACAACAGCGTATGAATTACAACTTTATTCATAACGGTAAAATGACGTCATCCTATGCGTGCAGCACGCGACTCATCTGGCACCTCCCATGCCAGATGAAATTTCCGGCATGGGTAAAACTCACGGAAACGCCAGTCTGATATGCAAGAATGGGAAATCTCACCTGGAGAAATAGTCCTATGAATATGACGTCGCTTTGAGATATTTTTGCTTCTGGGCAAAGCAACGTCATATCGAAATTGCTCAAAAACCCATAGCATGTTCCGCCAGAAAATCGGGCGGAACGAAAAACAATGTAAACAGCGTGTATTTACATAAGTTTTGACCTATTTATGAACAAAACTAAAAAATAAATACCTTTTGTCAAAATAATTAAACTGTCACATCCGAAAATCATGATTAAATCCCCTCATGTATTTCAATTCTTTTTACAGCCGATAAATAAATGGCGGCCATAAAGTGCGCGAAATCTGATTGGCAAATTCAAATGCAAGCGTTTAACTGAGTCAGAATAATCTAACGGAATATTTTTTTAACGAAATAATTGCCTATGCACCGTCATTGTGTTCGAATATATTTTTCCGTTCAAAAATTTGGAATCAATCTGTAAAGCACCTTGCTTAACAGCATGGCTGATAGACAAAAATAGATTGATGTTTATATTTTATTTTAAATTGATAAGAACATTGTTTGAGAGTTTTTGTGTATGATTGAGCATGAAATTGAAAGAAAAGAAGATAAGCTTTTGAATAAAGCTTGAAAGGCAAGACAATAGACATTTTTTTATTTTTTTTATGATGCTACTCAGTATGCGTGTTTGAGCAATAACTATTAGACGTCAGGCTTGACCGACATAAACTATAACAAGCCTGTAACGTCTAATATATTGGACTACTGGAGAAAGAGCTTGAGATTGAGAGTAAACACAATGATGAGAGAAAAGTGGAGATCTAAGATGTCATTGGAAAAGTAAGTGAAATTACTCACAGTTATACAGTTAATTTCAAATTACTAGTACAACTACAATATGATTACTCCAAAATCGGCCCTCAGCCCTTGTGGGTTTGAATCCTGTTAGGGACATTGAATTCTTTCATCTTCTGGTTGTTAAGCTTATGTGCATGCTTGAAAAAATTAATGAAGGTGAATTTTATGCATAGTTTCACCAGTAAAGCTTAAAATTGCTGTATGACCTTAACTTTTCTGGATAAAAATTCTCTGATAATCATAAAGTAAATTATAAAAAGGCCATTTTAGTATACAAGTCCCTAATCAATCTTCTCCCTGATTATATGCAAAATCTTTTTATAAATACGGAAAATAAATCATTAAGATAATATGAACAAAGTTGACTTTTAGTCCCCGAGCCAAGAATTGAATTCTGCAGAAAATCCCTGTTATATTCGGGTTCAAAACTTTGGAACTCCCTAGTAGTACCTTTAAACATACGAAAATCTTCCAAGTTACAAACATTCAAAACTAATTGTCTAAAATGGTGGTTCTCTGATGGGCATCAAATAACCTAGCTATTGTTTTAATATCACATATATACATGTTATGGTCATAAACTGTACAATTTCATACTTTAAAATATTTTCTATGTTGTATTACTTGTAACATTAATAATCAAGTTTTCTTTGTTTATATAAATCTTTTTTGTAACTGTATATTTGTACATTTTGATAGAGGTTCATAGGGAAGACTGAGCTTGCCTAACTATGTTGCCTTTTAAAATAAAGTCTTTTTATTTTTTTTTTCAAAATTAAAGCAGTTTGTGTTTTTTTTCTTTTTCGAGATATTTTGGGAGAAAATGGTGTTGTTAATTGTAACTTCTTTCTTCATAGATTTAGAGAACAGAAACTACTCAAAAATCAACGGAAAGGGATTCAAGGAACAAGGACAATACAATATTAACTCTAGAATCTGATTTAAGAAATACAAAACATAACTTGATGGGGATGGAATCAGAAGTGACTTGAAATGAAGACTTGAAAAATTGAATGGGTTTTAATGGATCTCTAGAGAAGCGTCTTTAAATAGAAAAGAATTCCGTAAGTAGTTGTTTCATTAATTAAAACTTGGAATTTTGTTTGATTGTTAACTTATTTGACTTGTTATTATAGTTGGTAGAGTGTAACGTTTACAAATCTTCTAATGGATGTTAAAATATCTATTTCAATTTCAATTTCTTATAAGAGCTTAGGGAAGTTAAACTTATGCTTTCACAAAGTAAATTGAACTTATGATGTGTTAACTTTGTTTTGTTTACTGTTTTCTGTTATACAATGTTACAGTTTCTGTTTAGTTGTTGTTTAATGCTAGCAGAGGAGAAAAATTCAGTCTCTAAATGGATGGAAGATTATACAATATTGTCACATGACTTTGAAGTTTTACAGCACGATCATACAGTACTGTGTGATAAATACCAGTCTGAGCTAGAAGTTGTCAACAAGTTAAAAGTTGGTATTCTTTCTAAGTTATTTAACAATGTACAACTATTATTTTACTGAATGATCATGTTGGGCATCCTATGCGGAGTGGTTATGGTCAATGACTTCCGATTCATTGTCCCTCACCACTATGTGTTTGAATCCTGACCATTGACTTTGTATTCTAAATGTGTGGAAAAACTATCCATCTAACCTACAGAATGTCAATGGTTCTACTTAGGTGCCTGTTCATGCCTGAAACTACGCACAGATGCGTACCTGAAGTCTACCAGTAAAGCTTAAAATTCAGTATATGACCTTTTAAATGTTGGTGCAGCGTAAAACCACACACATAAACATAATGATTACTAGTATTAGTTATCTGTGACCAAGAGGTCAAGGTCATTGACTTCAAACAACTTGCTCCCTATCACTGAAGGTTCAAATCCTGCCAGGGATATTGGATTCTTTCAGTTGAGGAAGCTGTCTAGCTAGCCTACAGATGTAAATCCAAACTGCAAACTTCAAGATTATAAAGAAAAGTTAATTTGGTCATGTTTCTTAAAAAAAGACAAAATTCAACCCCAATAATGATATAAAATTGTTTTATTTATTGTTTAATATTTACAATTCACATTTTTATAAAAACATTTTTTAAATAATGAAAAATAGTTACTACAAATATCAAACTATATATGCAGTGATGGTTCAATAGAAACATAGTTAAAAGTTCAGTTACATCATCAACAAGAACACTTGATGTCGTTCATTTGAAGTTACAACATACCATGGTATAGTTGACTGTATAAACTTATTGAGAATTTAAAAGTTTTCAGAAATATTTAAAAACTGAATCAGCATGCCATCATTAAAACTTCAATACTTGGTCTGGTAAGGAATAATATTCAAATATGTACAAATTAAATGATATGACCTATTTTCTAGCCCTGATTATCGATATCAATATTCCTTTCGTTATATAATGTATATTCCTGTAAGTTATTATTGCCTTATATAAATGTTTGTTTGAAATTTAGCCCTTGTCTGGGGCTCAGTTTATATATACAAACAACCATTTATATAGGACCTGCCTATATATAAAACTTGCAAAAAAGTAATAACTAATGATATAACTTGTAGAGGGAACTTGAAGATAGAGAGGAGGAGTTATCTACCATGAAGGATTTTAGTAACACTAATGTCGAGTTGGATAGTAATAAAGGTCAGCTGCTCATTATCAAGGATACAGTACAGAAACAGTTACTTATACAAGATAAAGGAACCATTTATCAAGGAAAACAGGAAATATTTGCTGTAATATTGTGTGGTCATATCTGAAAAATATATTATACTTAAGTTTTTAAGACTTATTAAGGTTTTATTTCAAATCAAACAATTTTTCCATGGACTAAACTTGACTAAATTCATATGCAGCTCAAATTCTATGTAATGATATGGACACACTCTCTGGCCTGGTTTTCAAATACTCTAATACTTTATAGAAATTATGCTTCCTGAATTGCTGGAAGTTCATCCACCTTCAGCCTCCAAACTTCACATTTCAAAGTACTTTGATGTTAAAGGTCATTGTTTTGTTTAGGGTATAATCAAAGTTGATATTGCTGGTACGGATAGCACAAATCACATTATTTAGGAAAAAAAGTTGTGAAAGGCCATAGATTAAAGTTTGTTCATTTATTTAAATTGTAAATTGTTCTTTCCTTTCACATTTTGTCACCTTTTATGTCCTTGAATTTATCAATACAGATAGGAGTTTGGCCATATGAATCTTTGCAGCATTGTTTCTACCCCTTACATAAAGTGACATTGAAAAACACTGTAAAGCGTCTCCAGCTCTACCTTCTTGTTCCATACATTTTCCTAGAAGATTTAGAGCTGTTTCCCGATGTCTAAGTCTTGGTTCCTCTTTTATGCTTCTGATAAGTTTGAAGAGAGCAGCTTGTTTCTGGTCACGTCTCCCTAAATGGTTGTAAACTTTGTATTGTAAAAAGTAGAGGTAAGGGAGGGAATCCACCACAGCCAAATTCATCCATGTGTTGTCTCTGTCTGTACGAAATATTCTGTCCTCTTGTGTTGATCTAAACATTTCATATCTGAGTTCATAGGGTACACAGTGAATTTCACATGGCAGAAATCTAACACAGAATGCTGTTGTATACTGTAAGGCTTCTTCATTATGATTGTCACATAATTCAAGGTATCCTTGTCTTGGTAATTCCATCTCTAATAAATTACAACCACAGAAAGGCTCAACAATTTGAAGATCATATGTTCTTTCAATTTCAGTGAGTACTAGGTCAGCTTTTTGTATTTCTTGTGCACAGTATAAGATTGAAGCTAATTTTAGTTTACTTGATGCAACATCTGTATTCAGACCAAAAGAGATGAGATGGAGGGCATTTGCAGATACAGTGTAGTACTGATAGATGTTTAGTGAAGCCAGGACAGATCCTAGTGTTGTACAATACCACGGTAACAGAAGAAGACTGGCTGTCTTATGCAATCCTTCTTTATGTTGAAAGTTTAGTATCTTTGATACATATTTCTTTAATATTTCTACAGCTTTTTTTGGACTACTGTCGTAAAGAAAATTATAAGTTTCTATCAGTGCCAGATATATTTTGAAAGCCAGATTAAATGATAGTGCTGCTGAAATATCGTCACTTGTCTTGAAAGGACATAAGTTATAAAACTTGAGACAAAGCCTGAAACCAAGAGCATCACATGTAATCCCAAGTAGTGCCACTCCTTCACTGTTGATGATATTGTTGAGTATTTCCAGGATATATGTTTCGACTGCACGTGAAATTTCCCCCCTCATTAAATTATTCCCAGGTATGATAAAATGTGGACAATTTTTATTAATGATACTGTTGTACAGGAGATATAAACACAATGATAGACAAGATAGTATGTTATTTTCCCTCCAGATGTTAGAATGTGTTTTGGAAATACAGTGGAAGAGTACAGTTTTACACATGAAACTTGAAATAACATCTTTAAACAATGGATTTATAAATGTTTTTAAAATAATTTTCATCAATACATAACAGCGAATCTGTGTAACATTCAGGTTGAACATTAAACACCTTTCTGCTAAAGATGTTGAAATTCTCCATTCAAGATGCTCATGTTCACTGCCACTAAATCCAACAGGAACAACAAAGCATCCAGTTCTGCTGCAATATTGTTTCATTTCAGCAGAGGGCCATTGACCTTCACCTTGTTGACCCAACCATTCTCTAGCTTGTTGTGGCCATGTTGTACAATGTAGAGCTAATACAATATCCTTATCACAGTAGCCTTGTTGTCCTTGTTGTGTTTGTGCGGGCCCATGTAATTCATAAACACAGCAACGAACAAAAGAATTTTTTAAAAGAAATTTTCCTGATCTGTCTTTGAAGAATAATTGGTCAGATTCACAATCAGCAGGAAGCGGAGCATCAGATCTCAGACGTTGAAGTAAACAATATCCAGGAGTTACAGAATTATCTTGAATCATCAAATGATTACGTGCACCAGGTATCCAGTCACTCCAGTCTGGTATCACAGTGAGTTCATTGATACAAACAAGTTGGTCCATGTCTGAATTTATTCCAATTGTAGTTGTGCCTTCTGATTGACTCCCAAAATAGTATGTAATAAGATTTCCATAAAGTAGTTGGTCATGTATATTTTCTATTGATTCTCTCAGAAGCCATGCTCTTCTCCTCTTCAGTATAATTCTCTCATCAACACCTATATCAGCCAGAACCTCTGATAATCTCATTGACACAGTCTCAGTGTAATTTGGTACTTGATACATTCTGAAAAATATCATCAATGTTCTAAACTATTATAAAGTTTCTGGCATATGTAATATCTTTACTGATAAACTGATTTTCCTTTCTGAGATCACAACAATCAGATTGCAATTGTTGATTGTTAAATTGTCCTTTAGATGAAATTGTTTTAAAATAAGTTGTTATCATCAGCTTCATCATAATTAATTTTTGTTAATTTTCAAAGAAATGTATATTAAAATGTATTAGATGATTTCTGTTTTGTGAAAATTGATTTATGCAGTTTATGTTTTTATTTACCCTATGAAACAAAAAAATAATAAAAAAAAATAGCTCAATCGGATCTTTGACCTCCTTAATCAACGCTAGTCAGTAATATAATAAAGTAATCATTAACGTTTTACGTTTTTGTTTATATCCGCAGCAGATTAAAGATCATGAAGTCACTACATGTTCAATATTTAAAAAGCAAAACAAAACACTTCAGAAATTTCCCAGTTGCTAACAACAATTAGAGTATTGGGTTTTCTGGATTTATTTTTAACTTCCTGTTTCTCTTTCAATCTTAAGAAGATAACTCTGTTGAACAGTTATTATATATATATGTTACATTTGTTGTTTCCCTTTGTGGGAGAAAACTGATTGACAAGTTTTTTTAGACAAGATCATACTTCATGTATGTTAAAGGGACTCTACTGAGGTATTTTGTCATGCCAGGACTGGAAATGATTTTTCAAGACTAATATTTCATTTATCAAACGTCCAGAACAATAACTTTTGTGCCAAATATCACATCATTGGTTCAGCGTGTTTTTTTCGGAATTACAGAAAAGCTATTCTTATTTTGAAAAAAATGACCCAAAATTGTTACTCTTTACAACTCTTTTAATTCAAATCGAGCACTAAAATATGATTTCTGTATTTAATAAAGATATTGTAGAATTCTTTAAGAATAATGTTCCTGTTTTGTCTTTGAAAATGTATTAACCTATACCAGTAAGAACCTCTGATAGCTTATATTTGACATAGTCTGGTTGTTTCATTCTGAAAATATTGTTATTGTACTAAAATTGTATAACGTTTCTGACATTTTAAATTTCTTTACTTCTTTTCTGATTTTCTTATCTAAGATCACAATCATTGAATATTATTGTTTTTTTTATTGTTAAATTGTGAAATTTTCCTTTATAGAAAATTGTTTTAAAATAAGTTTTTATCACCATTTTGATCAAAATTAATATTTGTTATTTTAAAAGAAGTGTATTATTTAATGTTTGAAATGACTTTTGTATTGTGAAAATTAATTTATACTGTTTAATTATTATATATGCTATGAATCGAAAATTTCAATTAAATACAAAACTTTGACCTCTTTTTGAATAAATTTTAATCAACACTAGCCAGTAATATAATAGAGTAATCATTAAAGTTTTACTTTTTGTTTATATCTGCTTCAAATATAAGATCATGAGGTCACTAGATTTTCAATATTTGAAAAGCAAAACAAAATACTTAAGAAATTTCCCAGTTGCAAACAACAATTTGCTGGAATTATTTTTAACTCTTAAGAAGATAACTCTCTTGAGCAGATATTTCATATCTGACTTTGTTGTCTCCCTTTGTTGAAGAAAACTTGACTAAGATTTTTGGGCAAGTTAAAATAAAGATCAACATACTAGATTCATGTATGTGTATGTTTGTTTAAGGGACTCCATTGAGGTTTTTGTCAGGCTCAGACTGGAATATTTTTTCAAGATGAATGCTCCATTTAATGAAGGTCTAGAACAATAACTTTTGTGCCAAATATCAGATCATTGGTTAGTGTGTTTTTCCAGAATTCCAAAAAAGTTATTCTTATTGTGAAAAAATGACCCAAAACTGTTACTTTTTACTATGATTTTAATTCAAATCGAGCACTAAAATATGATTTCTCTGTTTGATAAAAATATTGTAGAATTCTTTTTAAGAATAATTGTTCTGTTCTGTGTTTGAGAAAGTATTCATCTTTACCAGTCAGAACCTCTGATTGCTTATTTGACACAGTCTGGTTGTAATTTGGTACCTGACTCATTCTGAAAATATTGTTTTGTTCTAAAATAGTATAAAGTTTCTGGCATATTAAATTTCTTTACTTCTTTTCTGATTTTCTTATCTAAGATCACAATCAAACTATGATTGTTGATTATTGTTTAATTGTGAAAATTTCCTTTATAGAAAATTGTTTTGAAATAAGTTTTTATCACTATTTTGATCATAATCAATATTTGTTATTTTAAAAGAAGTGTATTATTAAATGTTTTAAATGACTTTTGTATTGTGAAAATTAATTTATACTGTTTATTTTTGATATATGTAATGAATCGAAAATTTCAATTAAATACAAAACTTTGACCCCTTTTTGAAATAAATTTTAATCAACACTAGTAGTCAGTAATATAATAAAGTAATCATTAAACTTTTACATTTTTGTTTATACCTGCTACAAATTTAAGATCATGAGGTCACTAGATTTTCAATACTTAGAAAAGCAAAACAAACTTCTTCAGAAATTTCCCAGTTGTTAACAACAATTTGCTGGATTTATTTTTATCTCTTAAGAAGATAACTCTCTTGAGCAGGTATTTCATATCTGACTTGTTGTCTCCCTTTGTGGAAGAAAACTGATTGACACCATATTTGGACAAGATAAGATAAAGATAACTGTACTGGATTCATGCTTCATGTATGTTAAAGGGACTCCACTGAGGTTTTTTTGTCAGTCTGGGACTGGAAATGATTTTTCAAGATTAATGTTTTATTTAGTAACGGTCTAGAACAATAACTTTTGTATCAAATATCATAACAATGTGGTTGTAATTTTGTACCTGATACATTCTGAAAATATTATAATTATTGTTCTACAGTAGTATAAAGTTTCTGGCATACTAAATTTCTTTACTTCTTTTCTGATTTTCTTATCTAAGATAACAATCAAAATATTATTGTTGTTTATTGTTAAATTGTGAAATTTTCCTTAATAGAAAATTGTTTGAAATAAGTTTTTATTACTACTTATTTAATGTTTTAAATGACTTGTAGTGTGAAAATTAATTTATACTGTTTTTTATATATATGCTATGAATCGAAAATTTCAATCAATACAAAACTTTGACCTCTTTTTCAAATAAATTTTAATCAACACTAGCCAGTAATATTATAGAGTAATCATGAAATATTTACCTTTTTGTTTATATCTGCTTCAAATTAAGATCATAATGTCACTAGATTTTCAATATTTAAAAGCAAAACAAAATACTTCAGGAATTTCCCAGTTGCAAATAAAGTATCCGGTTTGCTGGATTTGTTTTTAACTCTTAAGCAGATAACTCTCTTGAGCAGATATTTCATATTATGACTTAATTGTCTCCCTTTGTTGAAGAAAATTTCTTGACAATATAAGATAAAGATCAACTGTCCTAGATTCATGCTTCATGTATGTTATAGGGACTCCACTGAGGTATTTTGTCAGGCTTCAATTTTATTTAGTTCCACCCATTGTTTTCTTGTTTAGGGCTCCAGCATTTTTTTACTTGGGGGGACCATATGCTGCTTTTCATGGAATGGCACTAACGTGTCACATTGAAGGTTCCATGATAACCGCCATATGAACACATCTGCGGATGTTTCAAAATTCTTAATTTTACCAGTTCATGTTAACTGTTGAATTCTGCTTAAGCCGATGCTAGAGGGTGTGTACGGTAGTTTGCACTTGACAGTACTGTCCATGAACAGGCTCAATCAAACCGAGTCTGCAACATTTTCAATTTTGCCGCGTTGGGCTTTCTTTAGGGATTCTTATTTCACTCTTTTTTTTCAAGATGAATGTTCCATTTAATGAAGGTCTAGACCAATAACTTGTGTGCCAAATTTCAGATAATTCACTCAGTGAGTTTTTCCAAAATGATTATTCTAATTGAGAAAAAATGACCAAAATTAAAATGTGTTGTAATGTCTCTTACGTACGCCCTGAACTTGTGTCCGGCCCATAACTTCGTTATTTGAAGTCGGATTTTACAACTTTTTCACAGAAATGATCACCATATTTAGATGAAGTGTCACGTGTAAAATTTGGGTCGCTACATTGAAGGACAAGGTCATAGCATGACCTTGCTGCCAAATTTTGTCTGGCCCATAAGTTATCTTTGTTATTTGAAGTCGGATTTTACAACTATTTCACAGGAATGATCACCATACTGAGATGAAGTGTCGCGCGTAAATTTGGGTCGCTACATTGAAGGTCAAGGTCACAGCATTACCTTGCAGCCAAATAGTGTCCGGCCCATAACTTTGCTATTTGAAGCCTGATTTTACAACTATTTCACAGAAATGATCACTATATTGAGATGACATGTCGCACGCATCATTAGGGTCGTTACCTTGAATGTCAAGGTCACAGCATGACCTTGCAGCAATATCTTGTCCGACCCATAACTTTATTATTTAAAGTCGGATTTTACAACTATTTCACAGGAATGATCAACAAATTGAGACGATGTGACACGTTCAAGTCTGTACATAGATCTCATTGAGTAGAAGTTCAGTGCAAAGAACAGTAACTCTGCCTTGCCTAAGTTTGGAATTATCACACTTTGAACTTTTTCTGGGACATAACTGTGAATTTAGATTTTTAGGACCTCAGTGAAGTTCCTTTAATGAATTAGTGTCATAGCAATTTGAAGTATTCAGCTTTGGTTACTTTGTATAGCAATTTGAATTTATTCTTGTCAAAACTTTCTCACCTTAAAAAGAATTTAATATACATAAAAATCAACAATTTTAACAAGCAACATCGATAATCAACGCACTTTATTAATTTCATCAAAATTAAACAAGGGTATCAATAAGAAATAATCCTTTTTCACCCTGATCTTGATTAAACAGACAGCGCAGCTTATTGTCTTGACATAATTGTTCAGGTACTCTTGCCCTTTCCAATTAAACATTACACTTGGTTACAGATTATGAGGGAATGTGTCGCTCTCTGACAGAGAAAGAAAGACAGTTAACAGAGCTAAGGGAGAGAACTGATGAGAAAATAGAACATCTGAAAAGAGAACACGCTCAGGAAAAGTTACGACTGGAACAAGATAGGACCATGGCGGTACAAGAGAAAGATTTAGCCAAGTAAGTGTATATAACCTCTGTATACAGAACAAATCTCTCTTTAAAGATAAAGATTTTAATTGTAAATAGGAGATGTTAGCTCCTAGAGAGGTTTAAATTAGTGTTAAGTGGAACTCTGTTTGTTTTGTTTGATTTTTAGGTAAACATGTATAAGATAATCAATGGGGTTTATTGAGTCCCTGTCAGTCTTCAAAAACTTACAGTTGACATAATTATGACTTTTTGATAGGATATCCAACAACAACACATAACAATATACATGTATCACAGGAAAAATAATAATGACATTCTGCTTGAGAAAATTTACTTTCATTATGTTACTCATTATGTTATTTCTAAATAACATAGGTCAAAAGTTCTATATAAGAAATGTTTCATGTATTTTCTGTATATTTATACCCCCAGAAACAAAGTTTGGGGGGTATATAGGAGTCACCCGGTGGTCGGTCGGTCGGTCGGTTGGTTGGTC